CCCCTGTAACTCCCAGCCTACTGCTGTAAAATTAGTTGGGCAACCCTGCTGGCAAATTACGTTCTACTGGCAGGCGCTGCTTCCAACATCTGCGGTGCTTTGTTGTAGGCCCAGATAATTTTTGCGTTGCCTAATTAAGCGCACCATCGCCAGATTTGGAACAATGGCAGGAGTAAGACGTTGTGTCCGCCCAAACCAACTCTACAGGTTAAGTCTATAAAGACAAGCACAAGTCAGCATCTTGTAGCAGCTGGCCAGACAGAAAGACTATGCCTTGCACCCAGGAGCAGCCCAAGAAACGGGATAGAAGCAACGAAACTTCAAGAAGAGGTGGCGTACTTTCGCAAAGAATGGCTTCCTGACTCACCGTGACTACCATGCGGATGTGTATATTTTGCTGCGCCGAAACGGCCAGACTTATGAGTTTCAATCTACTGACCAAGCCTGGCCCTTGACAGCTGGCGATTTGGTGCGGACACCCTGGAGATATACTCTTCGTTGCGGTAAACTAATCAAGAGTGGTAGGAAAAGTGTTTCCCTGTCGTGCAGCAGGTAACTGCGACAGACATGGACTCATCGTAAACCCACCATTGATGATTGCCGCTCGACACGCCTAGTCCGACCCAACCCTCACTGAGAGGACGTTGAGTAGACGGGCAATGAGCCTATGTACACTCCCCTCGAACGATGAGAAGCAACGCTGTCTCTTAAAAGCAGGACCCCCATTGAAGGGTATAGATAGTCGTACTCTCGAATTTACATGAATGAAACCGTACATTGGGGTTTCATTTGGCTTGAAATCCGCTGTGGTTCATGCTCCATCATTGTTGACAACGTCGCCTGATATTTTGTGAGGTGCAGTATGCTGTGGTGTTCTATTTTTTACACACTGTCCATTAGGTGAACTACGAAACTGACAGCTGATACCGGAACCTATGTAATTGGTCAGAATTGGCTATTGTACCTCGCAGTACTTATGACATGACGCGTCTCAAATACCCTGTCAAGCTCAGGGCACGCGCCTGAGCAAGCGGGCCTCCAGGTACCTCTCCAGCAGTCACCACATCCACTCTGCCGCGAGCTCTCGTAAATCATGTCAAGCTTCAAAGAGCCAGAAATGGCTGTTCAATCTGTTATAAAAGTCACAGCTTGCGGACACCGGTAAACTAGTTTTTTTCTCCCTTTCACACCACGCAATTGCTGCAGAATGGCTGGCCCGTCAAATACCGGCACCACGGCATTGCCCGTTCATCGCCGTATTATCTTTAAGGTGCGCC